AACAGTAGAAGGAAAGGTTTGATCCTTCAGAGCGTATCTTTAAAACCCTTCAGGTGTTTTTAACGCTCAGCTAAATTCACTTTCCTTCTGTGCAGTTTAAGCACTTTCCCAGATGTTGTCTGGATTGTTTTTTTTTTTTTGTTTTTTACCTCGGATCATCTCTGCAGACACTGCCAACTCCAAATATAAATTTTATCCACCAGCTTCCCTCCAGTCAACATAATTTTTTTCCAAACATCCGTTCTCCGACAGACGTCTGCAGAACTATATAGCACAATGTCCCATCCGTCATTCGTTACTCGCAGTCGGAGCTAGAAATAAGCCGATAATTGGGTGGATTTATTAGTCTTCCTGGTTACTTATAGACTGTTGTCGATTCTGGCGTCTCGTCGTTTAACGTTTCACCACAAGAAGCCATGATGTTGGATTCCAGTTGCTCTGCTTGGTTCAGTCTTCTCTCATCGAGGTTGTTAGAAAAGCACAAATAGTATGCAATTCACTGCCTTGCCCACCAGAGGGCGATCTTGTTTTGTTTTTTTTTCGGTATGAGCTCCTGTTTTCAAACACTAAACCCCTGAAGTGATCATTAGTGTCGTCTGAACACTAAAGCTGCTCTGAGAAACAGCCATCTTTCCTCCGTTCGTCCAATTTTACGACGAGACGCTGACGTTTCCCCTCCAAAAAACAAAACACTTCATCCATGTGAATGTGAGTCTGTGATGAAAAGGAGTTACTAAGCCAAGGAAAGAAATGTTTTCGCTTTGTTTCTCGGTTTTTTTCTCCGTTCCTCCAAATCGGCTCCTAAACGATCAGTTCAACGTGTTTCTGTGACGAAACAGACTTTTACTTTTTTGTATTTAAGAAGAAAATCCCTGCAGAGCTCCAGAGGTTGAATAAATATGTTCGAGTTATTTTTGTAAGCCCAAAGTTTTACAGTGTTTTTAGAAGAAAAAAACAAAAAGGGTAAGAATGTATTTTGTTGGAAACTTCTACAGTTGTGAGAATAAGCTTGTAAAGGAGCCTGGATTTGGGGTTTGAACGTGACGAAGGAGCCCCCCCCCACATGGGCCTTTTGATACTTGAGGCTCAAAAATATTTTCCTTAATACTGACATAGCAATTTGAGAATATAAATATATATATATATTTATAGTGAGAATTTCTTGTTCATTTAAATAGTTTTTTTCCTTGTGGGAAGTTTAGTTGAGATCATTTAGGATGTTCTTTCTGGCTAATTGTCTAGAAGTCCAGCTTTTGTTTGTCGCTTTCTAAATTTGTAAATTTCGACGCTGCAGCCATCAGTCTGCTTCAATTAAACTCCTTTTTCTTTTTTTTTTTTTACTCTGATCTTTTTTCTTGGACGAAGAAAAAAAATGGATCCAAATCAGTTTGCGTCGTAACCGACTCCGTATATTTTTCTAGGAATTTTGGAGGGAAACCTTCCAAGCTGCATGGGACTGGAAGCGTTGCATGTAAATGGCGAACCATTCTACCAAATTTGTGCGTTATCTTAACCTGATTTCTTTTTTCTTTGTTTTCATTTGTTCTTTATTTTTTTTTATTTTCTGTCTTTAATTTTTTGTTTGTTTTAGAAAACTGAAAGGCTGTCTGACAGTGCAATCTGGATAGAAAGAACATCAGATTTTATGTTAGGTATTTTGACTATTTTTTGCACCGTTTGAATAAATTCTCATCGTATTTCAAGGATCTAATGTCTCTTTTCTTTTCTCATTTGTATTGGTTATAAAAAAAAATAATAAATGACCCTTTTTGACCTTTAGATTTTAACTTCTCAGAACTTCATAAACATCTGCTCCTCATCAAGTTATAAAACTGTTTAATCTAATTAATTTAGTCCAAAAATAAAGGCATCCAAACAATTTTTTTTATTGTAAATTAAAAATCTGTGTGGAAAAGGACTTTTTAAAACTTTCATGCCTCTTTGGTTTTAGTGGAAATGAGCAGCGAGGTGCTACTAACTTATCAGGTTTACTCATCATCATACTAGTGTTTCAACCTCTATGGAAACATGCAGCTGTGTTTCATTAACACAATGCTAA